TAACTAATTGCGCGAACACTTCTAATATTATGGTAAAAAAGAAGAGCGTTCAAGAAGATCTGTTAAGAGAAGTTTCCCTATAAAGAGAGTTACTAGAGTAATTGAAAGGTTGGAGTCTAAACTAGTATAAGTTTCTATTCTAACAAAAGGAGAGGATCCTCTACTCGCATAACCACTAGACATGTTTACATGGCAATCATTTATATGGGCCATAGGGAAAATAAAGACTGGAATGAGAAAATGAGCTTAAGGTAAGAATGATACCTATATAGGATGAAAGCAAGCAAAGAGAATAAAGGTTAAATGCAAAGTGAAAAATGCTTTGTTCCAAAAGAAAACAAATGCTCGAGCAAAAGGCTTTTGGAAAGGAAGGAAATATGCTTTCACAAAAGGAAAACTGGCTTTCACGAGCGGACAAAAAAATCACCTAAAGAACCGGGAAAAACTTATATAGAGAAAGCGAATAGCAGGTCATATAAAAGGAAGACGTAAAGTTAAAAATCAACGATCGTATTTCATCTTGGAAGCAAAAGCGAACTCGAGTGCACTCAAATTCCCTAGAGAAGAGCACCATGCTTTAACCTGCGAGTCTAAGACCACATGCTTAAAAATCAGAGAAATATCCCAATGATGTGAAAGATATTTAATGTGCATGTTCTCCAATATATATATATATATATATATATATATATATATATATATATATATATATATATATATATATATATATATATATATATTCTTAATTTCTATATTCTTAATTTCCTATTCACTATATTGCCAAACAAATAAATAATATTTGCGAATCAACTTAAGGATAAAAAGACTTTTAAAGAGAGAATATCTAGAGAAGAAACTCTACTAAAAAAGAAACAAACTTCAAGTGACTCTCAGTGTATACAAAATTTATGATGAAAAATTATACATTTGTAGTTTTGCTTAAATTTGTTTATATCCTATTAAGTGATATTTGTAAACACCTAAATAATTATCTATTTATTTAATTATATTTATTGAAAATGTTAAGTTATAATCAAAATTTTCGTGTGAAAAGTTGATATATCTAGTTAAAAATTAAAATCAAATACATTAGTGTTTTAAATGTGTTTTCTTTTATATTTTATTCCAATGAAAGTATATTTAACAATAGGTTAATAAATGATGTGATATGCAATTTATAGTAAGGTGTGATCCGTTTACCATTAAAACTTAAAGCATCAAACTTTTCACACTAGTCATACGACGTCGTATGCAGTCGTGAAAAGGCACACTCGTGTGTCTCGAAATTTGGAAAGAGAAAATCTCGAGTTTGGACTTCACCTGCAATTCACTGCACTGTCGTTATTTATTCACTCTTTCCATTTATACCCTCAATTGTCACCGTCATGTAGATCAGAATCGCTTATTTCATATCAAACCAATTTCTATCGCTTCGTTGCTTTGTTTTCTCAGGTAACTTCTTACACCTTCAATTTTATTCTTAGATTGATTCTCAAGTTTCTGCATGCATCTTAATTTGACTTGTTTGTATTATGCAATTTGTGAGGGTTTGGAAATTCAGTAACAACAAAAGTGTGTAAATTATAGCTTTATATACGGATCTGCTGGGATAAACAGCTTAATTAAGTGTTTATTATATAAGTGCTTATCTATAAGTTATATGTATAAAAAAGATCAAATAAAGTCAAACCGTTTTTACATAAGCTATATAAGCTGTTTTCATTAGCTGTAGTGTGGAGAGCTTTTGAAAATAAGCTGAAAACAGAGTATAGAGATGTTATTAGCTGTTTTTAAATGCTTTCTCGAACAGTCTCATTGCCAGTGATGGGAAACTGGTTAATTTTATTATTTTCTGGCTCTACCTTGCAAGTGATGGATCCTCTTGATTGCGGAAGGAAGCATAGATGAAATATTGAAATGCGTTTGTCGTCTATAATTTGTCGTTGTTGCTTGATTGGTTGTGTTGAGTGTCAATTGAGGTAACTGCAGAGTAGTCAGTAGCGGCCAATAGCGGCGGTATCTCGCTATAGCATAGCGGAGGGAGGCCGACTGCAATGGGAAGAGCCTTAGCGGTGCAGAACTCTATAGCGGCCGCTATAGGGTAAATAGCGGGATAGCGGAGCATAACGGTTCCCAGGGGAGCGGTTTCTGGCCCACTATCCTTTTCCCCTCTAAAAAACCAAAATTATCCCTTAAATTTACAATGTTTTAAGGGTAATTTTGGATTTTTCAATCAAATTTGAGTAAAGACTCAACCTTGACCTTCCTTCTTAGTCGTTTATGCACTTCAAGATTGACGTGTGATGAGTTATTTGTTTAATTTTCCATTAAATATATGTTTACAATTATTACATGTAATTTGTCTAAAAAATGATCAAATAGAGTGCGTACTGCTATTCCGGAATGACTACTCTGGGTAATTCCACTACACGCTATCCCACTATCCCATTTTTGGGGTCGGCTGCTCTGCAGTGCTATTCTGGAATGACTACTCTGGGTAATTGATATGTTGTTAATGTTGGAAAGCGGTGCAGATAAGGGGAGTGGCGCAGACGCTAATTTTGCGACGTGGACACTAATAAACAGGCACTTACATGCTGAAAACATACTATTAAATACTAAAAAAAAACTCAAACTTCATAGTCTTAAGCAATAAAATACTTCCAAATATATAATAGTACACTTCCAATTCCAAATACCATTAAAAGGCATAAGTCTTAAGCAAAGCATTACAACATAGTGACATACTTTCAAATACCAATAAAATTTAAGAAAACAAACACTTAAGCATCTAAATCTTAAAATAACTAAACATAAAAACTCTTAATAAAAGTTCAAAAATCATTAAAATCTAAGTATCACTTCCTTCGCCACTAGCATCCTCTTCATCCTCTCCAATATATTCTTGATCACCAAATTCATCATCTACTACTACCACTTCCTTTGCTTTTGGCTTAGATCTAGATGAAGAAGGCGGTGGAGGTGCAACTGCCTTCTTCCGCAATGCTGCTTGACTCCTAGTGTTGATTGCAGGCTCAACAACACCACTTGCAATTTCAACATCTAGCCAAGACAAATCATCACCATCAAACACCATATCATTATCAGGTTCAGATTGAGTTTCATCTTCACCTCCCAACAACCATAGGTTATGGGTATCAAAATCATCATCCATGACCACATGATCAATCAAATCATCACTATCGAAGCGCTCTTTCAAATTTTGATTGTACTTGATAAAAACTAAGTCTTGCAACATTTGATGTTCAAGTCTATTTCTCTTTTTGGAGTGAATCTATATTATAATTTTAATGTTAGTTTAAAGAAATAAATATACATTACTAAACTATTAATTTGAATCTATAACTTAATATCAACTACTTACATACTCAAAAGCACTCCAATTCCGCTCAAAACCGGATGAACTACAAGTCAAACTCAATATTTTAATAGCAATGAGCTGCAAATTTGGTGTTTTTGCTCCATACCTCCTCCACCACTCAGTTGCAATCCAACACTTATTTGCATTAGCATATATACACTAAAATGGTTATGCAATTAAATTATTGCGAAATAGACACGGTTACTTACCAGCAGCTACATCGGCTTTTTGCCTTACTGCTTCATTCAATCCAAAGTGGCCTACACCCATCGTATATTTCGCCAATTCTCCATGGATGGCATCAACAACTTCGCTACTTGCAAAAAGCTTATTAATGCATACATAAGGGCCATCTAACAACTTATCGTCATTATCAATCATTAGATTATTATAAAAGTACTTCGGATTAAGATAATACCCAGTTGCGTGTAACGGATGATGAAGTTGAATACTCCATCTATCAACAATATCAATGACTTCTTTGTACTGACCTTTATTGTTGTTGAAGTTTTTTTTACTTAACTCCCTGGCTTCCAACATTACACAATAGATGCCACTCATTGCCGGCTTCTTTTCATTATCAACAAACCTAAGTACTTTTACAAGAGGCCCCATAACTTTAAGAGCGTACACAATATCCTCCCCAAATGATACTTGAATACAATATCAGCTGTCTTCCTTCCTTTCACCTCCTTACTTGCATTCAAGTTCAACACTTCTTTAGAAGTGAACATGGGTCTAATTTTGATCTTTTGAGCGTGCAATCTGTGCAAAGTAAGAAAGTTTGTGGCAAACCTAGTGACTCCACTTCTAACCAACTCACTTTCTAATTTCTCCCTCATTAAGTTTAAAACCAAAGAATGGTTAAGCCCACGAGAGTTATTTCTTTTTGTATAACCTTCTTGACTCTTGGAATTTTTCCGATATCTTCTAGCATCAAGTCTAGACAATGAGAAGCACATGGAATCCAAAATATTTTTGGCCTCGATACTTGAAGATGCTTACCGACCAAGACATAGTTGCTTCCACTATCGGTAAGTAGTTGCACAACATTACTTTCACCGATCTCTTTTACAAAGCTATCCAAAAGCTCAAACAACTTTTGTCCAGTTTTCATGTTAATAGAAGCATAAACACTTTTAACAAACATTGTTCCTGCCGGAGAATCCCTTTGTATCAGTCCAGCCATCAGACATTATGGAACAACCATATTTATCTTGTTCTTTCTTATTAGTACTCAACATCTCATGTGTAAGTTTCAACTCATCTTGAAGAAAACTCTCAACTCATAGTAGCTTGGAGGCTTCAATTGTGCACCATAATACCAATTGCTTCAACCATCAATTTGAAACTTTTTGAATTTACAACATTGAAAGTAATTCCATACCGATAAAAGAGACGAGCTATGTATTGGCAACAACTCGCTCTTGCTTTCTTATCACAAGTATCATTCAAGCTTGTTTGCTTTCCTTTTTTCAAAGTTTACTCTGGTTTTCTATAGTAAATTACATCCAAAGGGCCTTTTGTATTCTTCTTGGCAACCAGCATACTCCCCTCTTCAGCTGGTCTTTTTCCACTTCGAATCCTAGATATCTCTAGCAGCCGTGATGCCTCATCATCATTCATCATCTTCATGGACTTCACCTGACATAGATTTCTTTGCAGCCAATTTCTTATCTTCATGCTCCTGCAAAATCAACTTAACGTCTTCCGGTGTTTGAGTGCAAGCCTTCACATTTCCTTTTATTACTAATTGATGTTGTTTAGCCCTTGAAATTCCTCTGGTCGACGTTTCGTTACAAAAATCACATGTAACTCTCCTCTTATTATTCAAGTCTTTCAAATGGTTAAATTTCCAGCCTATATCACCAATTGGTTTGTGTATCTTAGCAGCAGAAGAAGCCACAGATGGAACATCGGATGATGATGATGGTTGAGTAGAACTGGTTGGAGGAGTAGTAGTTGCCATAGCAGTTGGTAGAAATAAGAAAACAGAAGTACAGAACAAAAAAATAAAATCAGAACAGAGGCAGAGCACAGAAAAAAATAAAATCAGAACAGAGGCAGAGCACAGGCTGAGCACAGAAGAGGAAGAAGGAAATAATAAATTCAGAGCAGAGATGATAAGAAGCAGAGGAGGAAAAAGAAACAGCAGAAGCAAAATACCTGGAGTGGAGATTACGAAGGTGCTGAAGCAGAGATGGTGAAGGCTGAAGCAGAGAGATGATGAAGGCTGAAGCAGAGAGATGGTGAAGGTTGGCGATGGAGGAAGAGCAAGAGAGATGGTGAAGACGAAGAGTAGAGAGGAGTCCTAATCGTAATCGTATGTGGGATGGAGAGAAGAGCGGCGACTGAAAATTGCTTTGTAACGGTTAGAAATAGGGTTTTTACGTTTTAAAAGAAACTGGGTGGACCCGACCCACGATGTTACTTATATATGATTTAAAGAGTTATGAGATGTTCGGTTTTTGGATGAGATGTTTTCACTGGCTAGAGGTAACGTAGACTCTCTTAGTTTGACTTATCTCTGTTCTGAGCTAAGCCTTGGATCCATTATGAAATATCTTCAATTTTGTGGATGATTTACATCTATGATGTGAACCTTATTAGAATTCAGGAATGAAAAGTATCTGTTGGAAACTTGTTTAGAAATTAGTTTTTTGAAATCATGTATTGAGGTTGAACAATTCTTGTGAGGCTAATTTTAACCAAGTGCAGAAATTTGATGGCAGTTTGTTTTGAGTTTTCACGTGAGTGAGTATACTGTTTGGAATGTCTATTATTTATGTTGCTGTTATGATAAGACTATATTGATTTTAAAAATTATACCACAAATTTCCTTCTGCTCAGTTAGCTCTAGGTAGCTAGGATTGAGCTCTGGAGGTTTACTCTGCCGTTAATGCCTGTATTACGCTGATGATATCGATTTTGTATGCAGATGCCGTAGATGGGATAGTGTATAGCGGGATGACTGCTCTTTAATCATTTTTTAGATAAATTACATGAATAATATATTAATAATTATATACATATGAAGTGAGAGGTGAGGGTGGAACTTGTGATTTTTCTTTGGAACGGATGAAGTGCAGGGACGTCTGTGAAGGAAGGTTAGGGTTGAGTCTCAACTCAAATTATCTGATTGAAAAATTCAAAACTACCCTTAAAACGTTCTAAATTTAAGGGGTAATTTCGGTTTTTCAGAGGGGAAAAGAATAGCGGGACAAAAACCACTCTGGGCCGGGAAATGCCCCTGCTACCTGCTATTTACCCTATAGCAGCCGCTATAGTGTTCTGCACCTCTAAGGCTTTTCCCATAGCGGCTGGTCTCCGCTCCGCTACAGCGGGATTGTGCCGCTATTGGCCGCTATTGACTACTCTAGAATATATTGTATCAGATATTAGTATTGAATATTAGCTCTCTTTTTACCTTGGCTTATATTATCATATACACTGCCTTAGAAACTTCTGCATATGCCTCCCTCAACTATTACAACAATACACGCGTCTCAATCAATAGCCTAAAACTCACATGCATTTCTCTCTTTACAAGTAGTCAAATTAAAATAGAGTTTGCCAATGAACCTCAGCATCAGGCTAGAAACCGTCTGTTGAATTTAATTGCAGTTTTAGAGATCATTCTGACCTTATAAGAAGATTCTTTGCTTTTTATAAACAGTAGTTATTGGGCCATAATAAGAGGTTGTTTTCCCTACTTCTCTATCATTCAGGATGAAGCTAATCAATACACTCAAATTCAAATCTAGATATTTCCTATCAATAGAGAAACAGTAATCATATGTCATGGTGTTACAAAAAAAAGAACTTGTTCAGTTTCATCTCTGCATAATGAGTAGTTCCGTCCCCGTAAAATGGGTTTCTGTTGCATATGTTAGAACAAAAACCTTATAGGGCAAAACATTTTAGCCAGATGTGAGTTGGCTGTAAATAACTGCCGGCTATGTGGTAGCTTCGTGACATGGTTATGATTGTGGTTAAAGATTATCAGAGCATATGCACGCATAAGACTAAGGGAGTAGGTGAGAAGCCTTTTCCTCTTTGTCAAATAGTTTTTAGCTGTCAAAGTTTAAGCTTTAGTCATTTGGGTATATAATGGGGAAATAGAATTATATTAATTATATTAGAGTAATTGATATGTCAGATGTTATTCCAGAAGATAAAACAGTAATATTTATTTATAATAATACTAGACTCTTAATCCTAATTAAATAAGGAAACAGATTATAAAAATAAGGAATAAGGAAATACGAAAACTAGATCTAAGAAATAATGTAACCTATTTTATGATAGAATAATGACTGAGCTATCAACATCTAATTGACTAGGATGTTCTCACTCTAGTTGGAGATATCTCAGAGTGATATGTAGATATGTTCTTATTATGTTTTATTGCTAGGTAACTAAGTTATTCAATAGTTTTCTGGCAATTATTGTAAACTTTGGAAATCGGCTTCTACTACTCAGTTATTTAACACTCCTGAAGTATGCCATTTTCTGCAGTTTTCTTTTTGTTTCTGTTTTGGTTTCAATTTGTTTCCACCTCTTATGATGGTTATATTAAAATTCATGCCTTTACTTTTTCTGGAATCATAGTAATATATTTTTATGAAATTCTTGATTCAATTGTTTACTTCTTTTGAAAATTCTTTCTTTTAATGTTTAGTTTTAGTTTGACACGTGTCTTTTTTTAGGAGCCTTACATTACAAGCAAATAAGAAATTATGCATCTTATATGTGTTGACCTAAAATTGAATTTAATATACATAGGGATAGGACTCTAGATGGATACAACTAACGAAATAAAGGGCGATTATGCTCCCATCAGAGATCCAGAGCACCCACAATTAGGAAGATTTGACAAGCCACTTCCATGTTGTGGCTGCGGTATTGGATGGTTCTCGTAAGTTATTTTGTAAAGATTCATCTTTCTCAATTCTTTAGCCTTCATAGTTTTATGTTTGAGTCTTCTCCTTTTCCCTTTCTTTTGTTTGACAGTTTTCTGCTAGGATTTGTATTCCCATTGATGTGGTATTATGCTACAATTCTCTACTTTGGAAATTACTATCATAAGGATCCAAGAGAACGTGCTGGACTCGCTGCTTCTGCAATCGCTGTAAGTGTTGTAGTTGAGAGCAATTTTGCATTAGTACTCCCTCTTTTACAATAACCTGTCTTTGCGTGTTTTCTTTTATATTTCTCTTGAGAAAATAAAAATATAGCGAAATTACATTTTAGTCTCTTTAGTTTAGACCACATGTGATTTTGGCCTCTCAATTTAATTTTGGTAAACCTCGTATATTCTCGTTTTTTAATTACAATTTTTGGAGGTTTATGATGGATTTGACTTTGAGATATAAAATAATTTAAAGTTTAGAAGTTGGAAATTAAGTGAAATTCATATAAAGTTTAAAAGGTTTTGTAAAAGGCATGATAAAGAATTAAAGAGATGGAATATTTGCAATCTTTTTAATGGTTGAAATTTGATATTTTAATTGGTGAATTGAGTCGAAAAATGTGAAAAGTAATTTAATTGATTCGGTTTTATAAAAGGTTTGAATAGATTACAAGAACTTGAGATTTCATATAAATGAAAAGTGATGGAGAGATTTAATTGTAAATGCCATATGTCAGAATTGAATAGAAGATGTGCGTATACTGTGTTTTTTTATTTGCCATACTGTTTTCTTTTTCTCATGGAAGTGAATATAAGTGACTACTCTTGTTTCATTTTGCTGATGTTGCAGGCTCTGATCTACACAATTACTATGGTGATAACAGTAATGGTTATCATCTTGTAACTTTACTTTCAACTATCAACTAACCTGAATGTAATCAATTTAGCCACGGAAAAAAAGATAAGAAAAAAGAAAATAGCTTCTAATATCAACTTCTACAAGAGGAAAGCAAGGTTATTCACTTGGTAAGATCAAGCTCTTGGCACGCAAAGCTAGTTCAGTTCCATTTTATGGGGCTTAAAGCTCTGTACCTTATTATAGGTGTGTTTGTATACAGACACACACGGTCTGTATTCAAAGAATGATGTAACTAACTAGTTGTATTTAGAATAATGTAACTAACTAGTTGTATTTATTTATTGAAGAAGGTTGTTGATTGTCATTAACTTATTTTGGTATGCATGTATATATCTTTGGGATTGCTAATTAGTAGTTGCTAACTTGCTATCATGCATTTGTTGAAAAATTGGAACAAAAGAAGAAAAGATCCATTGCTTTTTGGCTGTGCTATCCTTTTTTTAAAGTTTGTATCCTCCTTGTTGCCATTTTGTCCTTGTAGCATCAAAATCCATTTGACTCCTTTACTCGTAGAGGTAACTTAAGTAATAGAATAGAGTTTTTAAAATTCAGGCACAGTATTTATTTGGTGTTTAATAAATGTTTGTAGTGTAGTTGGTTAGTGTTCTGGACTGGGCCTGACAGGCCCAATAGCATTGTTAAGGCCCAATCCAAATGGACTTGCTGAGGACCACGCCGACCAAAGGGTCACAGTCGTGCCCGACGTGCTCCCTGAGGTTACTTGCTCGACCTCTACATCTCCAGCTCGACATCCTGCTGTCCAGCTCGACATCACCGCGAGCACCCCAACTAGGGCAGACTCAGTCCACTGCACTCCCAACGAGACCCCGAAAAGACCGCGTCTCCGTCCGCCCGCACTTCACGCAGAACATCCAGGAAGGGGACCACGTGCGGGTCCCCACTACGCACGTAGAACATGACAGTTCCTCCATTGGGCCAAACCTGCCCGGCCCAATGAAGGAACCTTGACCCAGCGCTGGGGGCTATAAATACCCTCTGTTTCCAGAGGGTCAGGTATTCATCATTCTACCCATACACTTATTATTGCCTGCTCGTGCTTCTACTTACTTCAGCATCGGAGTGCCTTGCAGGTACCCCCCACCTCGTTCAAAAGCTTTCAGCTCGGAGCCAGCCGTGACGGTCCATTTCTGATCAGGTCAGATCAGTGGCGCCGTCTGTGGGAAACTAGCTTCCCCGTCTTACAAACAACTCAAAAGACCAAAGCTCATTCAACTACAACTGTCATGGCTGATCCAGCTCGCGATGAGCAGAACGTCCGCGTCCTCGACACTAACAACGGTGCCGCGGACAAAAACGGACACATTGATAACACTGTGAATCCCGGTCCCAACACGATTCCGGCATCAACTGGCCCCGGACCTTCGACCTACCGGGACGGAACGACCGCATCATCCTCTTCCTCGGTGCCTCCGCCGCTCGAAGACGACCCGGTAGCCCTCGCACATTACAGAGCTGCCCGATTCCAAGAAGTCCTCGTCCCTGCCGGGGCAGATGCCACGACTCAAGCGTTGTTCGCAGCGATTAATCAAACAAACTATCTCATCTTCGCCCAAGGAGAAAGGCTAAGGGCGCTCGAAGATGACCGAAGACCCCCGAGGAGGCATCGGAGGCCACATACTCCACCTCCTCGAGTAACTGAAGTCCGACATCCCTCTCCCCCGCGGAGACATCACAGGGAGACCTCTCGAAGCCCTTCTCCCTGACCGAAGCAGAGGCGACTCTACTTGGAGCGACAGCCCGTCATCCCTGCCGGAGAACCCAGTCGCGACCCGGCAAGGCACGACAAGAGACACGCCGGAGACGGGCGTGTAACGTTCAACCACCGAGCATCACGCTCGAGGGAGACTCAGCACGACCACCGTGCCAGACAATACTACAGGTCCCCATCTCTGTCTCCGGAGAGGAGCGACGAGGACGACCCCCGCGGTCCCCTGTCGCAGGCCATCATGGATGCACCCATCCCCCCGGGCATGGAGAAGCCCCCACATCTGAAGAAGTATGACGGAGTTGCGGACCCGGTCGACCACATTGACGGGTTCGAGGCCATGCTCCATTATCATAACGTCGGGGGGGCCATCAAGTGCCGTCTTTTCCCCACAACTCTCAGGAAGGCGGCCATGGACTGGTACAAAGGCCTCGCCCCGGGCTCAATCACATCGTGGCGGAACCTGAAGAACCAGTTCATCAGTTCCTTCACCGCTTCTCGGCGCCATCCAAAGACCGAGGCGGCGCTCGAGGCCATCATCCAAAGACAGGATGAGACCTTGAGGGAGTTCATCAACCGCTTCGAGCAGGATACTACTGGCCGACGATGCAGCAGGATGCCAAGGAACACGTCAAAAAATGTGATAAGTGCCAGAAACACAGGGACATGCACCTCGCCCCTCCGCACGAGCTGAGCATACTGTCGTCCCCATGGTCGTTCGCCTGGTGGGGTATGGACATCCTCGGGCCCTTCGTGCAAGGAACCTATCAGAACAAATTCCTCATCGTCGCCGTGGATTACTTCACGAAATGGATCGAGGCCGAGGCTCTCGCGAAGATCACCTCGCATAACATCCTCCGTTTCTACAAAAGAAACATCCTCGCCAGATTCGGAATTCCGAGGGCGCTGGTGACCGACAACGGCACCCAATTCACCGACCACGGATTCCAAGATTTCGTCACCAAACTCGGGACAAAACAACACTTCACTTCTGTCGAGCACCCCCAAACCAACGGGCAGGCCGAGGCCGCGAACAGAGTCATCCTCCGGGGACTCAAACGGCGACTCGGCGAAGCCAAGAGGGGATGGGTCGAGGAGCTTCACAGCGTCCTATGGGCATACCGCACCACGCCCCACTCAACGACGGGCGAGACCCCATTTCGACTGACGTATGGCACTGAGGCCGTTATCCCAGTTGAAATCATGGAACCTTCCAGACGAACAGAGAACCCCCTCGACGAAGAAATGAACGACGAGGCGCTAAGGGACGAACTCGACCTAGTCGAGGAAATCCGATCGGGTGCAGCCCTGCGCGAAGCCACCCTAAAACAACGAGTGGCTCTACGCCACAACGACAAGGTCATCAAGCGCGAGTTCGAAATCGGCAGCCTGGTATTACGTAGGAACCAGAAGGATTCCCGTGAAGGGAAGCTGGCCGCGAACTGGGAAGGACCTTATCGCGTCCACGACACTACTGGTACCGGGGCATACTATCTCGAGCAATTAGACGGAGAGCCATTACCACGACCCTGGAACGCTGCTAAACTAAAGCAGTACTATAGTTAGAAACTACCAACACCTAGGACCCTCGACCGTCGACAACTGCGCTCGGTCAACGAGGATAACATGTCCGACTCCGTACAAAGGCCAAGGTACAGGCCCGACCTACGTCTAAATCGCACAACATCGCTCAGCAAACGAGACTAATCGATAGTGCCCGACGTGGACAACTACACCGAGCCCCACCGTCGTAGTACCTGTAAGGCAGAACACCCAGCTCGCGATGGGCAGTTCACACCAAGGGCAAATAGTCCCTACCGGGCTGCGCGCCCGACTGAGCAACCCCGCTCCATCTGCCCGACAAGTCGTCAAGAATGACGGGCCATCTAAAAGGGTCAAAGAAAAGTCTCTCCCCTCGAGTGCAACACTGAAGTGACTCTGGCCATCGAGAGAAGGCCGGGCACATACACAAACAAAAGGCGGGCAAATGGCCAGTTAAGCCGCATCCACTTACGGGCACTCCTCGGGCCCATAACTTAGGCAAATTTTATGCAAAAATGTAAAAATCATGCACGGGCAAACAATCAAATTTGAAACAACATTCATTCAAAAAACGCCCGAAGGCAACAGAGCAAATAAGTATAGACCGACCAAGAAGGCCGGCGATGTTTGTGAAATACAACCAACGGGCACGCAGGCCCAAAAAATACAAACAAATATCAAAGGCACGCAGGCCCGCTATCCTACGATCAAGCTTCCCCGGAACCATCATTGTCGACAACAGGAGAGTCGGGCGGGGGCACGATCGCGCCATCCACGATCCGAGACATGAAACCCGTCCCCTCGGTGATCAAACCAGGATTTAGCAAGGAAAGCTGGCCGACTGCGGAGTCGAACCCATCCTCCATAGCACCGATGCAATCCACTTCGAGGAGCCGGATATGGGCGACCAACTCCGATTGACTCTTCAAAGCAGCTATATCCTCTGGCTCGTCCTCGGCAGGAAGCATGGCGACCTTGAGGTCCTCGATTTGTTGGGTCAGGCGACCGATGTCGGCCTCCAGATGATCCCTGTCCGCGCGGAGAAGCTCTCCCTCCTCGGCTAGCTTCCCCGAATTTTCTTTCCCCAGGACCAACACCTCTCTCTCAGCAGCCAACAGCGATGCCTGCTCGCGGAATATCTCCTCGGAGCGTTCCAGGGCAGTCCTTAACTTTTGCGAGCTCGAGGAGAGAGCCGCTTTCTCCTTCTCAAGTTCTTCAATACGGACAGGATCCCCCCCTTCCTCGGACAGCACCAGGGCCATTTCGGCCATTTTCACCAGCCCGGCCATGCTGGAGGCCAGGTGCCTCTTCCGATCCTCCTTACTCATCCTCTTGATAGTCTCGGCCTCGTCGGCAACCACGGACAGAGGGAATCTCTCGAAAAAACCCTCCTCTTTGAAGCAAGGGGGGAACCCGAAGGACCTTACGGCACTGGAGTCCTCGACCACCGCCGGCTCGCGCTCCACCCGGTTCCTTTTCCTCTGGACCAAGGTTTCGCGTGGATCGATTTCCTCGACCTCCGGGATCTCTACCGAAACCGTCCCCGAGCCAGACGGCGAATCCAACCTCGCCACGTGAGTTGTGCCCGGACTATGTGGCGGGCCCATCCTCGACGCTTGGGGAGCCTTCACCACCCTTCTGTTTGTCCTCCTGTCATTTGACAACTTCAAAAGCCTCTCGTGTCGCCCGGCCATCGAACCTGCATAGAAAAACAAAT